ACACACACACACACACACACACACTCACACACACACAAACACACACACACACACACACACACACACACACTCCTACATCAGTCAGAGTCAGTTTCTGCTAATCTCCACATTTGAATCATTTTAAGAGATAAAATGCAAGACAGAAAACCATTTCAACTACAGCGCATCTATTTTCTGATTTTTAAACAGGTGATTTAAATAATCAAATAATAAATAGGATCTTATTAAATATGAATTTATTCTCATTATTCCAAGCATATGGCATATATATATACAGTGGGTACGGAAAGTATTCAGACCCCCTTAAATTTTTCACTCTTTGTTATATTGCAGCCATTTGCTAAAATCATTTAAGTTAATTTTTTTTCCTCATTAATGTACACACAGCACCCCAAATAAGATTCTCTGGTCTGATGAGACCAAGATAGAACTTTTTGGCCTTAATTCTAAGTGGTATGTGTGGAGAAAACCAGGCACCTGTCCAATACAGTCCCAACAGTGAAGCATGGTGGTGGCAGCATCATGCTGTGGGGGTGTTTTTCAGCTGCAGGGACAGGACGACTGGTTGCAATCGAGGGAAAGATGAATGCGGCCAAGTACAGGGATATCCTGGGCGAAAACCTTCTCCAGAGTGCTCAGGACCTCGGACTGGGCCGAAGGTTTACCTTCCAAGAAGACAATGACCCTAAGCACACAGCTAAAATAACGAAGGAGTGGCTTCACAACAACTCTGTTACTGTTCTTGAATGGCCCAGCCAGATCCCTGACTTAAACCCAATTGAGCATCTCTGGAGAGACCTAAAAATGGCTGTCCACCAACGTTTACCATCCAACCTGATAGAACTGGAGAGGATCTGCAAGGAGGAATGGCGGAGGATCCCCAAATCCAGGTGTGAATAACTTGTTGCATCTTTCCCAAAAAGACTCATGGCTGTATTAGATCAAATGGGTGCTTCTACTAAATACTGAGCATTTTTCAGTTTTTCTTTTTTAATAAATCTGCAAAGATGTCAACAATTCTGTGTTTTTCTGTCAATATGGGGTGCTGTGTGTACATTAATGAGGAAAAAAAATTAACTTAAATGATTTTAGCAAATGGCTGCAATATAACAAAGAGTGAAAAATTTAAGGGGGTCTGAATACTTTCCGTACCCACTGTATATATATAGCAGACAAAAATACCCATAATATATCCTACTAGTCACAACCTCCTAGTGAATTGCTGTATGACTGTGACTAATAATTAATAATAAATAATTTATAAATATTATAAATGATAATATATTTTTTGTCTTATTTTTTAAAAGGAAAGTCATTAACAAGAACATAATGTAAGGGTCAAGAATTATTTTATAATTATTATTAAAAAAACAATGTATAATAATAAATTTATAATTAATGCAAGAACATAATAAAAGCATCAAAATGTCAAAAATAATTTATAATAATTATAAATAATGTATAATTGTTATTAATGATATGTATAATAATAAATAATGACGATGTGAACTAGTATATTTGTTTACAGAGCTGTTTGACTTTAGTCTCTAGGAAAGTCATGAACAGGAACATAATATAAAAAAACATAAAAAATGTCAAAATAATTTATAATTTGAAACATAATAATGTATAATTATTACTAATTATTTTTATAAAAAAATAATGGAATTAATGGGGTATCATTAAGAAGAACATAATAAAAGCATCTAAAATGGCTAATAAATTAATTTATAATGTTAGAAATAATAATGCATAATTATTAATAATTATATTTATAATAATTAATAGCAGTAGTGTGAATTAATTTATAATTATTATGAATAATTATTCATAATTTATTCATAATAATTAATGTTATTAATGAATTATTATTATTATATAATAATTAATAATGTCAATGTGAACTAGCATTTGTTTAGTCTTATTTTTTAATGGAAAGTCATTAACAGGAACATAATAAAAAAACATCTAAATGTCAAAATAATTTATAATTCTATGCATAATAATGTATAATTTTTAATAATTATATTTATTATAATAAATAATGGCAACGTGAGCAGATTTGTTTTCTTTCAGAACCAGAGTAGTTTGACTTCTTTAGTCTCATTTATTAATGGAATGTCATGAACAGTAGCATAATAAAAGCATCAAAAATGTCAAGTATGTTAATTTATAATTTTTTATAAATAATAATGGATAATTACATAATTTTTATTATGTCAAATTAATTTATTTATAATTATATTATTTATTTATAATGATATATTTATAATTATACATGTTTAATTTCTCAAGCGGAGTGTTTATGTTTTAATGGAGAGTCATGAGCGTGCATGTTAACCGTGTGTGTGTTTGTGTTTCCAGCATAATTTTGCTCATCATCTCATCGTGTTATCTGGCGTTTCGCGTCTGCAGTCTGGAACAACAGCTGTCTTTCCTCAACACACAGCCGGTGATGAGCATGAGAGAGAGGTACAC